AGTGGTTGATGGGTGGCCAGCAGAGTGGGGTCCATGGTGGGAAGTCTCATGTCCTGGGAGAAGCCTTATGGGGATTTCAGTTGCTATTTTAATACTACTTTCACTTCACACTGTGTGTGTGTGTGTGTGTGTGTGTGTGTGTGTGCGCCTCTTCATGGTACTGAAGCAAATGACTTGCTAAAGGAACAGCCTCTTGTCTTCTTCAAAGACAGAGGTTTTGGCCTGAGCACCAATGCACTTGTGAGAGGTAGGCCTTTCCTGAGAAGCTTCTCCCAGGTGTACTGGTTCTGGGAGGGGCCATTTCAGAGACCAGCTCACTGCCTAGCATCCATCAGTGACACTGACTGAATCCTGAAGGATGACAGATGAAATTCAAGCATCGTCTCTAACCCTGAATGTGCAGTTATGAGCATTAAGGAGCAGAATTGTGCCTGGGGACTGTCCCAAGGGAGAGGGGACTATGCCAGTTGATGGTTACTTTTAATCCGTTCAGTTGCTCAGTCATGTCCAACTCTTTGCGACCCCATGGACTGCAGCACACCAGGCTTCCCTGTCCATCACCAACTCCCGGAACTTGCTCAAACTCATGTCCATCGAGTTAGTGATGCCATTAATCCTACGATATTTAGATAGCATTATGAGCCCCATGAAGTGATCTGGAAAGCTCACTCCACACACAGGACTTGTTCAAGAAGGTGGTTTCACCCCCTTGCAGATGAGGTTGTGTCCAGGTATTCCTGAATTAAAAGAAGGTCCAGGTCTGGGCCACCTGACTTTCTCTCCTGCCTGGTGCCAGGCTGACCACACCTTTCTAGGGAAAAGAGATTTTAAAGGGGGCAGCACACCATATAAAGTGGGTACAGCTTTCAACTGTCATCTTACAACCAATTTAGAAGCAGTGGTGTGTCCTTTGGGTGATGAATTCATCATCGAATCCAACACCACCTGGACGGTGGGTGTGAATATGGCTGGATTTTCCATTTCTGTGGCTGTAAACCAGTAAACTGTGAAACGAGAAGTCTCACATAGCTGAAAGAGACAACTGCTAGACTCCACATATAGAAGGCTATTAATTCACTCTGATGCTCTGTCCCCAAAGCTGGAAGCCTCTTTCTGGAGGGTCCCTGCACTCTCTTCTCCCACGCTCTATTTTTTCCACCTCAGAATCTTCTCCAGTCCATGCTGGTTCAGACCCTGGCTGCCTGGATGGGCAGAGAGTCTCTGCCTTCACCTTGTACAACACCTTACAAAACATCAAGGAGAGGAAACATCAGGGAAAGCACCTCCAGTGTGGTACAACTGAGTTAGGGAGGGATTGGCCAAAGCCTCCTTTATAAATTTACATCTGACCCTATTTTCACTTTGTCCTAAAACCTCCCAGTGGGAAGTGACTCATTTGGTAAAGAAACCACCTGCAATGCAAGAGACCTGGGTTCAATCCCTGGGTTGGAAAGATCCCCTGGAGAAGGGAATGGCTACCCTCTCCAGTCTTCTTGCCTGGAGAATACCATGGACAGAGGAGCCTGGTGGGCTACAGTCCATGGGGTTACAAAGAGTCAGACACGACTGAGTGACTAACATTAACAATAAAACCGCTGATCCTCTCCCCCTGGGAGACCCTACTACAAACTCTCTAGGTTCATTCCAAGGTGGAACTTGATGAATTCTTGCAGCCTCTGAACCCACCATGCACATTCACGTTGCCTCACTCTGCACTTACCGCCCCTTGTTTAGAAAATCCTCCCCCACTACTTCATTCTAATAAATTTTCCTCATTCTGGAAAACTCAGGGTCATGTCACCTCCCTGGTGAGGCCTCTCTCTCCAGGCTGCTGCTTTGAAATTAACACTGTGTCCTCTATATTCTCTGCAAACACCACTTCTGCCATCTCTTGCGAGCTTCTTAAAGAAAGGAGATAGGGCTTTTACATCTTTGCATCCCTGGCTATTCGCACTCCCCTGAAGAAGGAAATGGCAGCCCACTCTAGTATTCTTGCCTGGACAATCCCGTGGACAAAGGAGTCTGGAGGGCTACAGTCCCTGGGGTCACAAAGAGTTGGACACAACTGAGCGACTCACACTTATTTGCACTCAACCCAGCAAAGGCCAGGTGCTCAAATCCCACTTGAGCAACCGAACAAGGTGTTTGGAAAAGTGCTACATGAGGACCCATACTGCACCCGGTGACCTTCAGTAAAATTTTCAAGGTCAAGCAGGGGGCGGCTTTTGCAGAGGCAGCTTCCTTTGCCTGTGAGATTCCTGGCAGGTCAGTAGCCATTCCATCACCCTCTACTCCCTACATTTCATGGGCCCTGGCACCCAGGGCTGGAGCTGTGCAGAGGGTAGATGGGTCGAAGGGGCTGAGCACACTTCTGCATCCTCCCATGGGGTTCTACAGACCTGCATGGGCTCCTCCTAGGCCAAAGCCCAAGCCTTCGGTGGCCACACAACTGTCCCCTCTGCCCCTGACTCCCCACCCGGGCTGGAGGCTATAGCAGAGCCAACAGTAATGCTGTGCACCGAGCTAGCGTCCAGGTAGAGCACGGGCCTTAGGGACCTGAGCAGTGCGCCCCTCTCCCCTGCAGCCCTCTCTCCTCCAACTGACTCATCCTCCAGCCTTCCCTCCACTCACACCCCTGCAACAGGCCGTATTTCCACACCTTTGCCCGTGCTGTGCTCCCTGTCTGCAAGTCCGCCTCCACTTGGCCAGTTCTGCCTGGTCCCTACTGGCCCTCACAGAGTCCCTCCCTCTGTGGCCTCAGCCCCAAGTCCCCTCCCCTGGAAGGCTCCCCAGTACCCACCACTCAGGGGTAATGACTTGCTTCTTTTCTGATTCTTTATTCCACTCATATGTGGGGTCCTGAGGACAAGGATGACCTCTGTGTCTCAGGCTTCCCTCAGGGCTGGGGCAGTATTCTGCAAGCAACAAGTGCTCAGTGCATGCTCATGGGCACAAGATCGGATGTTGAGAATGGTGGGGAAAGCACCTACAAAAACAGTTAGCACGGTCTGTGTTTTTTTCAGGAAGAGCAGGTATAATATGCTTCCTGTTTCTAAAGAAACATTTGCAAATCTTTTGCCAAAAATCTCTGTAAGTGAGCACATACAATGATTGCAAATGCTCTGGATGAGCAGAAAGATGAACCTGTTTAAGATATTCATTAACCACCCAGACTGATATGAGGGTTATTGAATAGCCTTCCCAGCAGACACACCCAGACTTGGTGGGGCCTCGCCTCTCTCTCTCTTTTTATAAAGCTACACCTTTCAGTCAATGAGAGGTCACTCTCTTTTCCATTCTCGTTTAACCACAATACTTCTTTTTAACCAAGCAGCAGGAGAGAAGGCCACTGAAACTTATTTCCAACATGTTTTGCAGGTTAGAATAGGAGGTGATGTGGTGCTTAAAGGCACTACTGCTTCTGGCGTGGCATCTAAGCCAAACTACTATTTAAATTTTTGGTCTTTTAAAAGATACCCAATAGGGACTTCCCACAGAGTCCAGTGGTTTAGATTCCATGCTTCCCAGGCGGGGGGTGGCATGGGTTCGATACCTGGCTGGGGAGCTAAGAACCTACATGCTGGGCAGCACAGCCAAGAAAATACTTTTAAGAAATAAACTTTAAACAAACACTTAAAAAAAAAGACACAGTACATTTAAAGTCTCGGTTCTGGGCGTACCTGGTGGTCCAGAGGTTAAGAATCCATCTGCCAACACAGGGCACATAAGTTAGATCCCTGGTCCGGGAAGATTCCACATGCCTCGGGGCAACTAAGCCCATGTGCCACAACTACTGAGCCTGCATCCTAGAGCTCGTGCTCTGCAACAAGAGAGGCCACCCCAGTGCGAAGCCCATGCACCGTAAGGATAGGCCCCGCTCACCATAACTAGAGAAAGTTCACGTGCGGCAATGCAGACCCAGCACAGCCAAAAAAAAAACCACATTTTTTTAGATTTAAAAAATAAATAAATAGAAATTTTAAAATACAATAACATTTCAGTTCCAAGAAGTGCAGGTCTCTATTACAAAAGACCGTGTCCAACAAAATGACCTGTTGCATCTTGCTTCTTCCTGAGCAGAGGGGGTCCCAGGGGCGACCTAGGAAAAGGAGCTGGTCAAACTCCCTCCTTGGATAACTGTGTTTCAGAGGCTTCCCTCCTTCTGTTAGGAGAACAACAAACCACCGAACCAGACTCCGACAGCTCAAACGAAGCAGCTGTATTTCTCACTCAACACCCTCCTTTCCCAGATGAAGGACACTGATTCACGGAGGGAAGACACATATTTCAGGCCATTTTTCATACACCGACAAGAAGTAAATTAGGAAATCATGTAAGTACAATACCCGAGTCATCCCTTCCTATTGATCACATGTAATTTACATCTTACAGAGATGTGAATTCTTGCATTCTCACTCCACAAGGAAAAATCTCAATGATTTATTCATTTCAAATGAAAAATAGAAGGTAGATGAGAAGAATGACTTCACAGAGGCATCGTTCTCGGGGCACTGGTGCGAGGCTGTCTCGCACACTGCCCGAAGGGCTCCGTGTGCAAGTCCCTCTAATTAACAAGGTGAATCAGGCGGCAGCTCTCTAATTAGTGAGCATGACAAGCCAGCGGAAACAGGCAGGCAGACTGGTACACATAGCTGGCCAACAAAGGCTCGGCACATTTCAAGTGAAAAAATGCAGATTTCTTCTAAATAACTATTAAAAGTAAGACTGTTGGGGGGAAGAGAACACCTCATTTTAATTCGCACGTTTCATGTGTATTCTTCCTTCATTCTCAGGGATAACCAGCTCCTTTGGTAAGATAGGGTTTGTGTCAGCCCTTTGTACAACCTTTCCAGGCAGTGCATTGCTGAAAACACAGGCAATATTGCTTGAAATAAGAATCAACATCTTAGTTTGGTATTTATGATCAATTTGTGTGTGTTTTAGTCTAGTAAGCAGTATCTGCCATTTATCTTTATTTTTTCTTCTTCCAGAACTCAGAGATGTCTGATGGGAAACTCTCTCCGGAGATTTTGCTCAGTGCTGTTCAGTCCCTCGGGAAACACTGCAAGAGCCTCCACAGGACAGAAACTACTGGCACCTCCGCCCTCCAAAGAGGGGCAGAGCCCCTGCAGGGTCACACCTGGTTACCAGCTCGATCTCAAGGTGAGCCTAAACTGCCGCTAGACACAGGCTTGGCCCCCTGGTTATTGCCCTGGTTTTTACCAGCCTTTGCTCATCTGCCAGATCTGTCTTTGCTATCTTGAGGGCAGCAGTCAGGCCAGCTCCCCTCTGCATGAGCCAAGCTCCGTGGGTACAGCCTGCAGTCACCCACAGCACAGCAGCATGTCGCTGGGGACACCATCATGCATGTTCACCTCCTAAGCAATGGCTCCCAAGTACTGGGCTTGCTGCCCGATGGGTTGGACTTCACCAAGGATGGTGAACAACCCCTGTGTCTTTTCCATTCTAGCTGCTTGCAGTGTCTCCCGAAAGGTATTTTCTTTCAGCATCAGGGACTTGTTATCAGGTAGCTGCTAAAAGAGACTTGTGAATGGAGAACATATTGACTCAGATTCAGCTACAACAGCGGTTCCCAACCTTTTCGCCACCAGGGACCAGTTTTGTGGAAGACAGTTTTTCCACAGACCTGTTGTGGGGGGGGGGGTTGGTTTTGGGATGATTCATGTGCACTATATTTATTGGACACTTTATTTCTATTGTTATTATAGCAGCTTCACCTTAGATCATCAGGCATTAGATCTCCAAGGTTGGGGACTCCTGACATAGAACACACGTCTACTGAATCTGGACACCGTTCTGGACACTTCCTCTGGAGCAGGCAATGATGCTACTACTGTTTACAATTTATGGTCAGGAGGGGTAGAGAGGGTATCCTGGGTTCCTCAGCTGAAAGATGCTGCTGGAAGCAGATGATGAACTCTGGGTTTATACCACAACCTGAAGTTTCCCCTTCTCTCCTTACTAAGACTCACAAGTCCTGATCCACAGACCAAAAGATGTCACTTCATAAAATTCACTGCTCTTCCCACATAAGCAAACTCTAAGACCTGTGAGCAGTCAACAGTTGTTTGCAAAGAACAGTCTTCCTGCTTGTCTGGAGAGAATTAAGAGGGACAGCTTAGAAACATGGGGATCCTTGTAAGGGTACCTCTTTCCTTCATTTTACTATCTCTGAAGGACTGAACCTTGTGAAAGATTATTTCCAGGCAAATATAAGTGAAAAAGACCTGAAAAGCAATCATGGGGGTGGGATGCAGTCAAGAAAGAGAAGTCAAAGGAAGCTGGGCCAATTCGGAGGCTGCAGGAGCCCTGTTCCACTGTGCCCTGGGCTCCCCTGCCACATGTGCCAGGCAGTGCCCATATTAAATTTCTACAGGGTTTTCTCTGCATCCAAACAAACATCCCTCCACACGCCCTCTCTTCCCTCTTCAACTCTTCACTCATGATCAGGTTTATCTATATAGTCTCCATCTCGTGTAGAAACTCAGCATTTATGAGTTTCTAAGACTTCCCTGGCAGTCCAGTGGTTAAGACTCCATGCTTCCTATAAAGGGGGTACAGTTGCCCAGCAAGGCCAAAATAAAAGTTGCCAGTACACACTGGCCCCCAGGACAGCGGTGGCCGAGAAGCAGGGAGGGCAAACGTGTCACTCCTTCCTTCTCTCTGCCCTCCCATTCATTCCTCACCAGCTCTGCCTGCAGAAGAAGCCTTTGGAGCCCCTCTCCTGCACCCACTGTTCCATGAACTTACCCTCATCACCACAGCGCCTTCCTCTTATCCCATAGGAATCCGATGCACTTTTTGAGCCATCACCTTCTGTTTCACACCGCACTGTCACTCAGGCAGCAGGACAAAACTGTGTTTTCAGTCAGTCAGACCTGGGCTCCAATTCTGCCTCTGCTAATTTCAGGCCATGATACTCTACTTTCATCCTTAAGTTTCTGTTTCCTTACCTGAAAAAAGTAGAAATAACCCTCCAACCTTGAAGAGGTGTTCAGAGGATTAAATGAGATAAAGTTGAACTAGCCTCACATGTTATCTAGCATATAGCAGGGGTTAAGGTCTAATCTGGGCTTCCCCGGTGGCTCAGTGGTAAAGAATCTGCCTGTAATGCAGGAGACCCGGGTTGGATCCCTGGGTCAGGAAGATCCCCTGGAGGTAGGGCATGGCAGCCCACTCCAGTATTCTTGCCTGGAGAATTCCCATGGACAGAAGAACCTGGCAGGCTATAGTCCACAGGGTCATAAAGAGCTGGACATGAATGCTGCTAAGCAACTTACCACCAGCAGCGGAAAGGACTAATTTAAGAAAAATTCTTTTCATTTTGGAAATTTTAAAAATGGTATAATTTTTAAAATGGTGTATTTGAGCTTCATTTATGTCTGGTACCAATCCCAGGCAGGTCAGTCATGAACAAACTATGTGACCTTGTGCAGGACACTAAACCCTGCTGAGCCTTGGTTTCCTCATCCATAATACAAGGTTGACCATACCTGACTCCCAGGTGTGGTTTAATGAAGCAGTGGATGCCAGAGCCCTCAGCACAGGGGTCGTTCAGTAAATGTGAGTCAGAAGCAAGAAACTTGTGTGTGCCCAGACCTGACAAAGAATTTGAATAAGAGGAATACTCTCAATGAATGAACATTTGTGGAAGGAATGAGAAGGGGAGAGGTGTGCTAGATACATGTTCCTGTTGTAGTTTTTATTCTTTATGGCTTTAGACATGCCACTTGCCCTTCTGAGTCTCAGCATATTCAATCTACAAAATGGGAGAAAATCTGTCAACCTCATTGGCTTGCTTCCAAAACTAATGTTTAGAAAACATAAGTCTGGAGGAAAAGTACATCAAATTATGAAACAAGGACTATTTCAGAAATTTAGTTAATTAGTTCAACAGGAGTGAACATGAAAGCATCTATGATATTCATTATAATCCTACGTTCTTACCTGGTGAAAATTTGACGGTTGATTTTTACTCAGTACTAAAAGTTTCTGCCTTTTAAACTGTGCAGGTAAGCCACCTGAGCTAATTCATGACAGCTGCTTGTAATTAGTCATGGAAATTTTTAAATTTCATTTAAAAAATAATAACAAATTTTATGTGAGAATAGTTTGAAATGTCTGAACTTGAAAAGTTAGTATGTGGTTTAAAATTCCAAAGTAGATTTTTAGGGGTTTGCAAAGCATTGAAGTAACATTTACTTATGTTTGGGGCAGAATGGGAAACACCTATTTAGTAAATTATAATTTGTCTTTAGAAATATCTTTTGGTGCTAATGCCTTCTAATACATCGCCAAAATGCTTATCTTATCTGAAATGAACTTTTGAAAAATTAAAAAGCATTAGACAATACTTAATCAGTCCTGCAGAACACCTGTGCCAGCTGGGAAACATTCCCCATAGCCAGAGATTCTCCAGGGTCACACCAAGTTTGCCTGAGGGTATTTTATATTCTTAAGGCATTGCTTTTCCAGCAACAGATAATGTCAGGGGCCAGGGCTCTGACATCAATGGTGAATCATAATGAACAGCTTTCCCTGGGGGCTCAGTGGTAAAGAATCTGCCTGCTAAGTAGGAGACTTGGGTTTGATCCCTGGGTTGGGAAGATCCCCTGGAGGAGGAAATGGCAACCCACTCTGGTATTCTTGCCTGGCAAATCCCATGGACAGAGGAGCCTGGCAAGCTATAGTTCATGGGGTCGCAAAGAGTCAGACACAACTTAGGGACTAAACAACAACAATGAAAGCTTTAATTCAGAATTCCCTGGTAAAGAGTCTAGTACTAGGTGTATTAGTTTCCTAAGGCTACCATTAAAAAGTTCCACAAATTGGGTGGCTTAAAATAACAAAAATTTATTCTCTCCCAACTCCAAGGCTAGAAATTCAAAATCAAGGTGTCATCAGTACTGGTTTCCCTGTAAGGGCTGGAAGCCTCTTCCATGTTTCTCGTATCTTCACATCATCTTCTCTTTGTTTATTCCCCTCTTAAAAAAACAAAAAACTTTATTTATTGATTCTATGCTATGCTGGTTCTTAGTTGCTGTGGGCAAGATTTTTTAGTTGTAGTATGTGGGATTTTTAGTTGCAGCATATGGAGTCTAGTTCCCTGACCAGGGATCAAACCCAGGCCCCCTGTATTGGGACCACGGAGTCTTATTCACTGGACCACCAGGGAGGTCCCTCATCTTCTTTTTGTGCCTCCAAATTTCCCTTTTTTACAAAGACACTAGTCAAACTGGATTAGAGTCTACCCTAATCACATCTTAACATGATCATCTGCAAAGACCTATTTCCAAATAGGGTCACATTCACAGATACTGGGGGTTAGGACTCCAACATCTGTGGGGCACCGTTTGGGCCTATAACACAGGGAAAACTGTCAAAGAGTCACTGGTTTAGAAGTCTCCAAGGCTGTCACTGGGCAGGGAGCAGAGGTGTATAGCTGGCCTGGGCTTGCGAGGCCTCCCAGAAGGCAGCTGTCGGAAGTGCCACAGTGCAGGGTCTACCCATCGGCCCTGCAGGGAGGGAAGCTGAGTGTTGCCAACAAGTGGAGAGTGCCTCCATCTCCCAGGAGCTGTGTTCCATGAGGCAAGGACTCAGGACTGTTGTACAAAATCAGCATGCCCATTTACTGATAGACCATTCACAGGGAAGGTGACGCCTGGGTCTACATGACCTGCACATTCTCCTCCTCCAGGCAAACGTGTAGCTGTGCAGAGAGTGAGTTTGCCTGTTTCAGGTAACATGGCTTGGTTTCCACCTTCATCTCCATCTTCATCTCCATCTCCATCTCAAGGGGAGTCTTGCTCACAGGGGAGTGCTGCCAGGATTCCTGGGGAGCGCCTGGAGGGGCAGCTCATAATCTCTCCCTGCTAATCTTGAGTGGACCAGACATGCTTCTAACAGACACTCTTTTTTTTTTCTTCTTCTTTTTTTGAGATACTCCTGGGACCTTTCCTGTTGACAAACTGACTCTGAAGAATTCAGCTTTGATCCAATTCCGTAGATTTCATCATTTAGCTCTGCGGTCATTCTCGCCTCCCTCATTTCCCGGTTCTTGGAGTACCTCACTGTAGTCCCCAGCTACACACTCACAGCCTTCCTGAGAACATGTTTGCCTTAATTAATTCTCCCCTTAAGAATAAATAGAACCCAACCTTCTGACTGTGGTATTTTATTCAGTGCCCGTCTTGGACAAGATCTGCTTCTCCTCTTTCACAAATAGGGGCCGATCAGACAAGCTCATCAAGATCCATGCAAGCAGGCTCTGAGCCGAGCTGGCACATGTGTGAATGGCCAAGAGGGGCTGGTCTTTGCTGAGATGTGAAGCCAAGTTGGAGGGGACTGCTGTGGCCAAAGAATTAAGGAAGTGCTGTAAAAATTCTCTTCTTTAGGACCAGAAGCATTTGTAGCTCCTGAAAAAAAAAAAAAAAGCCTGCAGTTTCTCTTGTGCCATGTAAAATGTTCAAGTAGATAACTGATATCAATTATACCTCAAGAAAGCTGGAAAAAAGTAAGTAAAAAGAAACGAGCTACAGTAAGTCTCCTACACATGAATGAGTTTCATTCCAAAAGCATGTTTGTAAGTCCAATTTGTTCCTAAGTCCAACAAAGTCAGCCTAGGGACCCAACTAATACAATCGGTTATACAGTACTGTACAGTAACAGGTTTATAAAACTTTACACACAAATAATATATAAAAAACAAACAAGCACAAAAAATAAAGAAAACATTTTTAATCTTTCAGTACAATACCTTGAAAAGTACAGTAGTACAGTATTGTACTACTATTGGCATACGGGGGCTGGCATTGAGTGAACAAGCAAGAAGAGTTACTGACTGGAGAAAGAAGAGGAGGCGTGATATGATCAAGCTGAAGGATCATTAGCAATAGGAGATGGAGGGCAAACTGCAATTTAACTCACATCTGATGTTGATGGAACACATGTTCACATCTTTGAAAGTTCTTTTTTTTTTTTCCATTTATTTTTATTAGTTGGAGGCTAATTACTTTACAATATTGTAGTGGTTTTTGCCATACATTGACATGAATCAGCCATGGATTTACATGTGTTCCCCATCCCGATCCCCCCTCCCACCTCCCTCTCCATCTCATCCTTCTGGGTCTTCCCAGTGCACCAGCCCTGAGCACTTGTCTCATGCATCCAACCTGGGCTGGTGATCTCTTTCACCCTTGATAGTATACTTGTTTCAATGCTGTTCTCTCAAAACATCCCAACCTCGCCTTCTCCCACAGAGTCTAAAAGTCTGTTCTGTACATCTGTGTCTCTTTTTCTGTTTTGCATATAGGGTTATCGTTACCATCTTTTTAAATTCCATATATATGCATTAGTATACTGTATTGGTCTTTATCTTTCTGGCTTACTTCACTCTGTATAATGGGTTCCAGTTTCATCCATCTCATTAGAACTGATTCAAATGAATTCTTTTTAATGGCTGAGTAATATTCCATGGTGTATATGTACCACAGCTTCCTTATCCATTCGTCTGCTGATGGGCATGTAGGTTGCTTCCATGTCCTGGCTATTATAAACAGTGCTGTGATGAACATTGGGGTACAGGTGTCTCTTTCAGATCTGGTTTCCTTGGTGTGTATGCCCAGGAGTGGGATTGCTGGGAATTTGTATGTAGGGAACTTACTGTATTAAAAAAAATAGATCGCTCATTTTTCTTTTTTTTTTTTATTAGTTGGAGGCTAATTACTTCACAATATTGTAGTGGTTTTTGTCATACATTGACATGAATCAGCCATGGATATACATGTATTCCCCATCCCGATCCCCCCTCCCACCTCCCTCTCCACCCGATCCCTCTGGGTCTTCCCAGTGCATCAGGCCCGAGCCCTTGTCTCATGCATCCAACCTGGGCTGGTGATCTGTTTCACCCTAGATAATATACATGTTTTGATGCTGTTCTCTTGAAACATCCCACCCTTGCCTTCTCCCACAGAGCCCAAAAGTCTGTTCTATACATCTGTGTCTCTTTTTCTGTTTTGCATATAGGGTTATCATTACCATCTTTCTAAATTCCATATATATGTGTTAGTATACTGTAATGGTCTTTATCTTTCTGGCTTACTTCACTCTGTATAATGGGCTCCAGTTTCATCCATCTCATTAGAACGGATTCAAATGAATTCTTTTTAATGGCTGAGTAATATTCCATGGTGTATATGTACCACAGCTTCCTTATCCATTCGTCTGCTGATGGGCATCTAGGTTGCTTCCATGTCCTGGCTATTATAAACAGTGCTGTGATGAACATTGGGGTACAGGTGTCTCTTTCAGATCTGGTTTCCTTGGTGTGTATGCCCAGGAGTGGGATTGCTGGGAATTTGTATGTAGGGAACTTACTGTATTAAAAAAATAGATCGCTCATTTTTCTAAGTGACAAGATAAGTACAAATAAATAATAAAAAGAAGTCTTATTCCAAGATCAGTAATATACATCTCTATTAATTATTAAAATATAATAATTTGGGGGTAAGCAAGTATTCATAGAAACGATCATGCTCTAACTTAGAAAACCACTTTATTTTTTTCAATTGAAAGAAAGTCACTTTAAAATCAGCAGTCGAAATGAGTAGTTGAGATCATGGAAATAAATAAGTAAATAATTTCTTACTAAATATGAAGTGATCTCTTTCATCTAACTTTTATTTCATCCACATCTTAACAAGAGTGAACATTTCAATCTTTACTATCTTGCTGAATATAATTAGCACCTGATTCCTGCTCTGTAGTCTGACTAATTTCCCATTTATATCTCTGACACCTCCCTACAGCCTGTTTGACTTGCCTGACACATTTTCAAGGTATTAGGAGGACTCCATGCAAAAGAGAGATTTCTTGTCCTTACTATCTGGGGACATGAAGAGGTTTTTGGGAGGCTCAACATTTGAATAGAATCTCTGGCAAAAAAAGGGTGAAAAAAGACATTAAAATAGAATTATCACTGGTTTTTAAAATAGGAATACCTTTAAGAAGCTCCCTCAGATACTGGTATATTTAAAGATTTATTTTAAAGTGTGTCTATGATGTTTCTGTTTAACAGCAAAATCTGTATAGCAGACAAAGATTCCCTTCATCCTGCCCCAGAGAAATGGCAAATTCTATGACCAAGACAAAGGATGCAGAACTAAGAAGCCATGGCAATTGGAACTAAGAATCTGTATGATCTCACCGGTGAAGAGACTGACAAAGCACTGTGAAACAGCAAACAAAAAGGCATGGACATGAAGAACATGTGGCTTTTGAGAAATGTAGTGCTGCGTTTGAGGCCATACCAGTTGTGGAACTTGTTCTGTTGTCCTGCCTGGGTAGGAAAGCAGATTTGAAGCCCCATCTACTATAGAATATAGCCCCCAATCTAGCCCAGTTAGGGGCCTGGCTGGAGTACCCAAGGGTTGCATGGCCCATCCTACAGTCCTACTTACAGTGGTACCTGAGTAGAGGAACAAGTCAGGAGCTCTGCCTACATGCAAAACCAAGTCAGTGGCCTCCTCTGGTCAGAGAATTCAGTGGAAAGTTCTGCCTCATTCAAGTCCCTAGCCAATAAGCTATGCCATCCTTGGAACCTGTTTTGCCACCCCCACCCAGAAAGGGAAGGAGGTTCATTGTATATTCCTGCCATGAGAATAGCCCACAGTCCCACCTGACCAGAAGGGTTAACTAGAGCATCTCGGAAACTGTATGGCCCACCATTCAATCCAGCTTGCAGTGGTACCCAAGCTGATAGCCCAGCCAGTGAGTGGCTGTGTTGTAGGATAGACATAAAGCTACAAAATATCATCAGATCACAAAAGAAGACAGCAATATAAGTGAGGAACAAAAAATCTACAAAACAGTCAGAAAACAACAGGCAACAGTAAGTCCTTTCCTACCAATAATTACTTTAAATATAGATGGTGTAAATACTCACATGAAAGACACAGAATGGCTGATAGATTAGAAAAATAGAATCTAAAGGAGATAAACCAATCAAGAAGATGAAACAATTATACATATTTATGCATCCAACATCAGAGCATCTGTATAAATCAAAAGTTAACAGAACTAAAAGGAGAAATAAACAGTAACATAATTATAGGTAGAAACTTTAATACCTCACTCTCAGCAATAAATAATCATCCAGCTAGGTAATCAATAAAAAAACAGTAGATTTTAACAGCACTATAGACCTAACAGACAACATTCCCAACAACAACAGCAGAATACCCATTTTTCTTAAGTACACACAGAACATTTTCTAGAGTATGTTAGGTCACAAAGCAAATCTTAGCAAATTTAAGAAAACTGAAATCATACCAACTGTCTTTTTCAATCACAAGAGTATGAAACTAGAAATAATAGCTGAAGGAAAGCTGGAAAACTTAAAAATACATGGAAATTAAACTACAGAGTCCTGAACAACCACTAGATCAAAGAAAAAATCAAAAGAGAAATTTTAAAATATATTGAGACAAATGAAAATGGAAATACATGTACCAAAATTATAGGATATAGCAAAAGAAGTCCTAAGAGGGAAGTTTACAGCGATAAATGCAACATTAAGGGGGAAAATCAGTCTAACAACCTAAATTTACACCTCAAGGATGAAGAAAAAGAACAAATAAGCCCACCTGATGCAAAGAACTAACTCATTGAGAGAGACCCTGATGCTGGGAAAGATTGAGGGCAGGAGGAGAAGGGGACGACAGAGGATGAGATGGTTGGATGGCATCACCGACTCATGGACATGAGTTTGAGCAAGCTCCGGGAGCTGGTGATAGATAGGGAAGCCTGGCGTGCTGCAGTGCATGGGGTCACAAAGAATCAGACATGACTGAGTGACTGAACTGACTGAAGCCCAAAATTAGCAGAAGGAAGGAAGGAATAAAAATGAGAGCAGAAATAAAAGAAACAGAGGACAGAAAAATAATAGACAATATAGGAAAAATAAAGAATTGGTCTTTAAAAAAAATAACCCAAATTATTAAACTTTTAGCAAGACTAATCAAGAAGAGAGAAGAGCCAAATAAATAAGATTATAAATGAAAAAGGAGAAATTACAACT